AAAAAAAAAAAAAGAAAGAAAGAAAGAAAAGAGTCCCAATAGTCCTTAGGTCCAGCCCGTGCTCAAAGGGAGAGGATTATACAGGATATAAATATGAGGAGGCTGTTTACCACAGTCCTCAAAAACATCCTCACTCTGCCCGGGTGGGGTGGCTCACAACATTCTGACAGGCTGAGGCAGGAGGATTGCTTGAGGCTAGCAGTTCGAGACCAGCCTGAGCAACATAGGGAGCTCTGGTCTCTGCAAAAAATATACAAAATTAGCTGGGTTGGTGGTACATGCCTGTTGGTCCAGTCACTTGGGAGGCTGAGGGGGGAAGACTGATTAAGCCCCGGGGTCTTGGGATGGGGGTGTGGGTTGAGGCTGCAATGAGCCGACATTGCCCCACTGCACTCCTACCTGGATGACAGAGTGAGACCCTGATTCAAAAAAAAAAAAAAAAACCTCACTCTGCATCCCTAATGATTTTCATAAATCTAAGTGGACTCCTGCAGCTTCCCTTTGTTGTACTGGAGCCAGCATAGAAAGTCAACACCAAGACAAAAGTATACCAAATTGCAGGGCGGCCAAGGAGGACTCACGTCTCTCCAACCTATGGCCCCTGAAAGGAGGGTGTGAAGACCTTTTATGCCCATAAACCACCTCAGGGGTGAAGGTGAGGGGCGGCGGTGGGGGTGAGGGGCTTCAGACATTCCGAGGGCCAGTGGATTCCATAAGTCACCTCCTGGGCAGAGCTGAGGGTGAGGGGCTCCAGACATTCCGAGGGCCAGGGGACTTTGGACATTCCAATTGTTACTTAAGGGCTTCACAGAAGTCAAGATAAGTGTTAGTTTACACATTGTCTGGGTAGGGTGGAAATTACGACCTTAGTTACTTATTACAAGTCGCAGGGGCCAAGATGGCGTGGGTTTGGGTTGCTTGCCTGTCACATTAGGGTTACAGAGAGCAGTTTCAACAGAAAGCCGAGGTATGGTTGAGGTGTGCAGTTTTATGGGGCTTTTACCATGTCACACCTTCTTATAGATTCCTTTACTCAGTTAATGAGATCTCTTGATCATCTGGCTTTTTTTATATCTGGGAGGTTTACTCATGTTATTGCAGATAGTGACTGTTACTTTTCATTACTGTGTAATAATCTATTATATTACATATCCACAATTTTATTTATCTATTCTACTGCTGTTGGACATCTGGCTCATTTTTAGCTGTCATGAATTAAGTTGCTATGGACATTCTATAAACGAGCTTTGGTGGACATAAGCCCTCATTTCTTTCTTTCTTTTTTTCTTTTTTTCTTTAACTGGAGAGAGAGTTTTGCTCTTGTTACCCAGGCTGGAGTGCAGTGGCATAATCATGACTCACTGCAACCTCTGCCTCTTGGGTTCAAGTGATTCTCCTGCCTCAGTCTCCCAAGTAGCTGGGATTACAGGCATGTGCCACCACAATTGGCTAATTTTTTTTAATTTTAATTTTAATTTTTTTTGTATTTAGTAGGGATGGGGATTCATGATGTTGGTCAGGTTGGTCTTGAACTCCTGACCTCAGGTGATCCACCCATCTTGGCCTCCCAAAGTGTTGGGATTACAGGCGTGATCCACCCTGTCCAGCCAGCATAAGCCCTCCTTTCTATTGGGAATACATCAGGAGTGGAATTGATGAGTGAAACAGTATTGTGTGTGTAAATACTGCCCCTGTCAATTCAGGCGCTCCAAATGAGAAGGTGCAGTAGCCTGCATGCCCATGCAAGCATGAACTTCAAAAAAAAATCTTGAATTTCTTCGAGAAAAATTCCAGGCACTTAGCCCTGAAAAGTCGTTGAGCAACGTGATAAGCAAGAAGGTAGCAGCCCAATTATAGCCAGCAGCACAAGGGGTGGCCCAAGGCAAGTCCCGCTCCAGCCAGCAAAATGTTAAAAAAGGTTTGACAGGCAGGGCACGGTGGCTCCTGCCTGTAATCCTAGCACTTTGGGAGGCCAAGGTGGGTGGATCACCTGAGGTCAGGAGTTCAAGACCAGCCTGGCCATCATGGAGAAACCCCATCTTTAAAAAAAAAAAAAAGGGTTGACATATGTCGGAAAATAGTAAGAGAAAGTGTGTGTGAAAGAGAGAGAGAGATGGGAAGTAAAACTAAAGAAAGAAATAGTGTAAGGAGAAAAGAGAGAGAAGCTTTTTCTTTTAAAAACTCAGGCAGGCCGGGTGCGGTGGCTCACGCTTGTAATCCCAGCACTTTGGGAGGCCGAGGCGGGTGGATCACGAGGTCAAGAGATCGAGACCATCCTGGTCAACATGGTGAAACCCCGTCTCTACTAAAAATACAAAAAATTAGCTGGGCATGGTGGCATGTGCCTGTAATCCCAGCTACTCAGGAGGCTGAGGCAGGAGAATTGCCTGAACCCAGGAGGCAGAGGTTGCGGTGAGCCGAGATCTCGCCATTGCACTCCAGCCTGGGTAACAAGAGCGAAACTCCGTCTCCAAAAAAACCTCAGGCAGAACAACTAAGTCAAAACATGTTTTAAAAGGTTTAAAAAGAAAAACTATAAAGTAAAAGAGGAGGGAATTGTGGGAAGTGGAAAAGTTCCTGTGGT